TAAGGGGGGAAACTGCATATTTTTGGATTTCTATTTGCAGTGGAAATCGGTGAAGGTTTGACATCTGCTCTGCACTGCTGCACTTTTACAGCTGACCACAACTAATGTAAGAAGGCCAAACCAAAGCAAGATGTTTATTTTTGCCCGTGCTAAAAAACAGCTCTCACTTTCATCTGCTCCTTCTTGCAACTAGACCATGGACCAAAAGAAAATTCAATAGGTATTCTTCCTTGGTGTTAATAGCTAACTTCTGGTGCTTTCTCTCCTTTATCTGTTACAATGATTCTTCCCAGGCCATGAGATTTAAGGTGAATTTTTGGTCATACTGTGTGCAGCAAAGGCCTTGTGAGGAGAGTAGACATGACCACCCACCAAAGACCACATCCAACCCCTCTGCTGACAAGAGACACACACAAGGAATTCTTTTAAAGGGTAAAAATATGCTCAGAATGGTGTGAAGAGGTTTTGTAGCTCAATAATTAACTCTGAATCCTCCTCAGACAAATGTGTCAGGGCCTCCACTGTATTAACTGCAAAAGGCAGGTGAGGTTGCTGACATTCTCAGAAGGCATCTCCTGGCAGAATGATTAACTACAGCAAAAGGTCCTTTATGTTTCATAGCAATTCAGTATACTGTAAAGGAATTGGTGTAAGATGCATTAGAGCTGTTGATAGCTTAAATTAAAATAGCACAATAAGCCTCTGTTTTTGCTGGGCAACCTCAGCTCAAAAATGCCAGATAAACATTTTCTACAGAGGTCACGGACATGACACGGTCCAACTACAATTTCATTTACAAGTAATTAAAATAAATTAAATTTGATAAAATTACTTCAGCTTAAGTTTGTTTATAGTCCTCTTGCTTATGACCAACATACTGCTTTTACAAGTGTTCCATACATTTATATATTCCTGAAAATATGTTCTGTGGCTATAGTTGGGAAATGAAGGAAATGGGCATAGTTGACCATTATTTAATCTGTTTGCAGGATGAGTGGATGCAGTTTGCCCTGCAGCAGATCACTGTACTTCAGAAAAAAACTTATTTTACACTTTATACCCTACTAAAGGCTTTGCTGTACCACATTCATATAGTTATGTCCAACTATTGTAACACCTGCTGACTCTCAGGGCATAACAACCCTTTCTCATATGCTTTCAATGAGCTTTAAATCTGTCTGAATAAAACATGTTATAACATGTACCCTTTGTACACAAAATGGGAGACTATGAAATCTTCTAAAGAAGAAGTGCACACGAGATTCAGAGGATACAAATGCTGTTTACACAGATGTTGTTGAAATAATTTTATGTAAATAATCCACACTGGGAGAATTCATAATGTTTGAAAAAAGAACTAAACAATGGATATTTTTATAAAGCAGCAAGGATAACACCTCTAAAACCAGAATTTGTTAATGCTGAAAGGATTTTTTGCTGAAAAACCATGATCTGCATTTACAGACATTTTGCAGGTCTCTGCTTGTTTGTATTCATGACAATACAGCTGTTCCTCCACACCTCATGCAGGCAGTGCTCCCCACAGATTCAACTTGACTTTTATTTAAAACACAGAGTGGGAGTGATTCCACCAGCCTCAGCAGAGATAATCTTGGTTGAAATAAAGAACAAAGGAAAGAAAAACCTGTCAGGACTTTAGGTACTGACCATGCACATAGAGCTCAAAACTAACAGAAGCCTTAATGGTCATCCCTGTTTCCAAGGAAAAAACCCTATGGGTCCTTTAGTTAGTAGTTTATTTGATGTTCAGCTTTCAAATTTACACAACCCAGCTTCACATCACTCATAGCATTTTATAGCAGTAACAACCCAATTTTCAACAGGATCCAGCAAAAATGTCTTTCCATCTATTTCCCCAAAGAATAATCACTTTGCTCACAAATCAAGAATTTCACTGTACTTTGCCTCTTCCAGAAGATTTCAGTACCACACTAACCTGTCACATTTGGTTTACATTTTCAGATATAGGTATCTCTAAATCACAAACCCATGTAATCCTTCCTTTGAAAAATTGTGGAATTCTGATTGCAATGAGCTCCAAGCCTGAGAATTTTTTAGCATCTCTGCTCTTTTCAATTGCTTGGTTCTTTTCACTTCCTTGGGAATGTGTTTTTTTAACTGATGATATTTAAAACCCACAATGCAGCCTATTATAATATCCTCTCATATGATGTAACAAGCTATTTGTAAGAATGAACTAACACATGAAAATGCAAGGGAAAAAACACCCAAGCAGCAGGCTTATTTATTAATTGCAGCTGGAATGAAGACTGGTAACATATCCTATGGAATTGCTGGAACAGATTTTACTCACTTTATATACTAATGCAAGGAAAGGGCTTTTTCTAATTTATGAGGTCTCAATGTTAACAAATTGATTGAATTTGCCAAAAGTACCATAAATGAGATAAAGAATGACTTCTCATTGGCAATCATATTGGTTTTGTCAACCAACAGTCCCATCCTGACCTTATTTGCAAAGTTCTTACAGCAGATGTTATTATTTTGCTTAGCAGTTAACACGGTGCATCCTTTCTCAAAATATTTTAAAGCTGATCAGGCAGCTTGTGACTATGCACACATAACAGACCTAAACAGCTGTCAAAAACTGAATTTACTGAGGAAGGCTCATCTTTGAATAAGAACTGTAGTGTGGTGCCACTGCACCTCAGCAAGAACTCTTGGAACAACCCATCTTTCCTGGTGCTCATGGACAAGGAACAAATACGCATCTCCAGCTCCTGTAGCCTGGCTCAAAATACACCACAACAGTTCAGTCTGTAGCAAACAGCATTTCCTAGGAGATGTTTTCTTTGCAAGAAAGCATTTGGCTTAAACAAACCTCCTATAAGTATTTGGGTATCTTATCTAATAAGGGCATCAAGGAAAGAAGGCCTCAGGAACAGGATCTGCAGTAGCTAATGAAGGAATTTCCTATCCACAACAGTGCCAGAAACTCTTTAAACCTGGAGACAGTGCTGCTGTTACACTGACATCTATCAGTTTTTAACTCTTCTCTAGAGGTAAATTTAGGTGGTGACAGTCAGCCAGAGCAGCACAGGCTCCTCCACTGCTGCCTGCACAGGTATTTACATGCAAGGTCACGACTTCCAGCTACTTGCCTGGACATTACACAACACTTTACTGCACATTTTTCACATTACACACAAAATCTGACTGCAGATGATTGGACACAGGTGCTTGGCTGACAGAGCTAACACTTCATCTTCCTGCCTGTGCCAGATTATTTTCACAGGAATGATATGGAGACCACTCTCGTGACAACACCACAAACTAAGGACATACTTCTTTCTCATTCATGTTGTGAGACTTCTGTGGATGGATAACTGGCAAGGCAGTGCTAAAAAAAGAAAGCTGCTCAAGGAAGTGCTTTTGGATGTACGTATAAAGTGCACAGGCTGAAAGGCAGAACATCCAAACAGAAAAACCAGAGTTTATTAAGTCTATGTAAGAAAAACAGCACAAAAAGGGAAACCATGCTGTTGTATAAGAAAAAACTGCATTTTCCCCACACTTATTGAGACAGGACCTCAAAAATTCTTGGGTGCTTAACTGCCGGTGGTATCCATGCAGGTCAGGTACCACCCAAGTGCCACTGCACACCAGAGCCCAGCATCCTGACTCGGCAGGAAATTGCAGCTCCTGTGGAATCTGCCTTTCCCTCAAAGCCCACTGAACTTCAGAGTGACTTTGCACCCTGCAGAAGGCAGTTTGGGCTTCTTAGAACCAAAATGCTCTTGCCTTTTGAAGGGTGAGCATTGCCCCATCATGTTCTTCTGACAACTGCACAATGCAGCACCTTGTTCTACACAGATGGCAAAAAATCTCACTGTGCTGGTAGTTAATGTGCAACTGAAGGTAAAAATAAGATAACACCGCCTTCCTGAGACTGCAAGAAATGTCACAAAGATGAACTACTATGAGAAATACATGGTGGCACATCTTTAGTGTGCAAATACTGTAAGAAAAATAAGATATTTGCTAATTTCAAAGTTTTGTCCTGGTTCATTTTATAACAATTAAATTGATGCTAAACATCAGACATGTTCTAGGTTCCTCATTCAGGCATCACAGCTACAGTGCTTGGATTAAATAATGGACGTGGCGCGGCGCCCCCTGGCGGCTCCAGCGCCGCCCGCGGGACCAGCGGAACTTTGCGCGCAGCTCGGCGCAAAATGCGCGCTCAGAGAGGGCTCGCTCCCCTTCGTGATGCCCAATCCGCAGCAGAAATGGCCAAATAAGACAGTACCGAGGTTTTTTTGTACTTGCAGGACACTAAACCATAAAGCACCGTCTCCTTTCCAAACGCCATGAGGCCTTTGGACACCCAGTTGCCCCCACAAACACTCCATGAGCACCAGTAGCTCCAAAGCACGTGTACTCCGTGTAGGTATTACTGCCTTAATTAAAACAGTGAGCAGGTGGGAAGCCTGCAGATAAATAAAAATATAATGTTCCTAACACAGAGTTCTGAACACCGACAAAGAGCTGTTTGACTTTCAATGACTTCTTTAAATGACAACAAAGTTTTACTAATAAATGATCACCTCTCTTCCCTACCTGTATGGAGTTTCAGGCCACGTTCAGCTGCGAGGGTATTTTAAGCAAAGGTGAAATATGTTTAGAATCTGGGTTTTGGACAAACGCTTTATCAGATAGAAATTTCAGCACAAAACATTCCCTTGCAAATATGCATGAAATTCCTCTGAAAAGTCTGGTTGGAAAATCTTTATAATCAATATTTTGATGACACAATGCTTTTGATACACTTAAGTTACCTTCGTTCCTGCAGGATTCCTATATTTTCCAACAAAAACATTCCTCTCTAACCAGTCATCTCCGACTAAGTTCATTACACGAAGAAAAAATATTCAGCAAAACAAATATAACCTCAATTCGCCTTGCAAGAGAAAAGGCTCGGTAAGGAACAGCGTCTCCGGTACGAGCGCGGATCTTACCTCTTCAACTGTCAGAGGCATACAGATCCGGTACTCCTTCATGAGCATATTCCTGCTGCTCAGTGCGGACCGGCGAACTGGGAGAAAGTGGCGATTTCTGCACAGAGATCGACGGAACCAAACACGGGGGGAAAGAATTAAGCCTCTTTTCTCTGTGCGCGCTTGACAATGCGTCCACAAGACAGTAATGTAACCATCCAGGAAGGCTGACCCAGCAAGAAGAGAAACCACCACAACCGCTTCTTTCTCCCAGTTCTTCCTCCTTCACACTGCGATCATGGGAATCTCACAGACGCTCGCACCGAGATACGCTACAAAGTCTCAAACCCCCACCGCTCTCGCCCCAGCCGAAGACATCCGTCGGAAGTGCATGGAAACGCCGAGCTCTCTCGCGGCTGTGTCAAGACATGCCTGGGGCGGCGAAAAGAACAAACGAGCCGAAAATGTGGCTTTCGCCCCCGCCGGCAGCACGTCGGGCGGCAGGAGAGACGCGATGCCGATTCCCAAGACAAAGGCTTTTTATAACGTCGCCTTTCCCGGCTGCCAAACGCGGCTCCCACCTCCCCGCCGCAACGCGGCTGCGGCCGCCGCGGCTCCCGCTGGGCTCGGGGGAGGGCACGGGGGGGCAGCGCGGCGCTCCGGCGGGCGGCCAGTCTAATCTGTTCCGGGGGTGCTCACGGGCGGGCGGGCGCGGAGCGGCTGCAGCGGCGGCGGCCCCGGCGGGGCTCGGCTGACATCAGCGGGGCGGCAGGAAGGAGGGAGGGGGCCGGCGGGGGAGCAGCGGCCGCCGCCGCTCGGGCGGGTTCAACGGGGCCGGGCCGCGGGGCTCCGGGCAGCGCACGCCGGCGCCTCCCGGCAAGGGGACACCGGCAGCGCCGATTCCCAAGAATTCGCGATTTCAGTTAATTCTGCCGCGAAGATTTCTCGGGTTTTGGAAGTTTATCGCCCTGCGTGTGACGAGGCACCTTGCAGAGCATTCACACCCCGTGCAGGAGCGGCGAGCCCGGGAGCCTCGGGCTCGCACCCTCCTCCTGGTACAAAAGGAAAGGACAGCGTGGGCTCGGTGCGGACATACACAGGATGTGGAGGCCTCACCCATTTCCCTTCTGGTCAGCCCTCTGCTATCAGCCAGCACATTTTGCAGCACAAATAAACCCCTTTTTCATATAGTTTTTTACTTACAAACGACACAGAGAAAGTTCAGTGAAAAAACGCCTCCTTCCTAGCTGAACTATAAAGCCAGAACCTTTTTAGGAGGTCTCCCCCCCACCTCCTTTAGTGAGGAATTTGTTAGTGAAATAGTTTTTTAATATGCTTGGGGGTTGTTTTTCAGAGAAATTTACCCATCATTAAGTTACAACTTGAAATGCACAAGAACCCAATTCTGAAACTACCTGGGAACCCCGAACTGTTACACAACCTCAGCATTTCATGTTTAAAATGCTCATCCTGCTGTTTCTCCTGTTCTCCCAGTGGCTATAAAGCCACTCACTGGATTGCAGAGAAGCACTGTAAGAGCAAAACACAAGACACTGCCCAGATAATGGTACAGTATACATCTGCACTTACATACCAGTTATTTGCAAAAAAATAAAAGCGATGAAATACTGTATTTGGAACAGTTAAAGAGGAATTTAGGTCTACAATGAAATGTGTGTTTCATAACAAGAAAGAGCAAAAGCCCCTCAGAATTTCATTGGTTCTGGATGTGCATTTCAGAGCTGCGGGTATAATTCTCAGCCCAGAGGACACAGTGCCATCTCCTGGAGCCAACAATGTCTGTTTGCCAGCCTCTTGCAATAATGGCACAATATTTCACATCCCTGCCTTCCCAGGGAAGTGCAAACACCTACACAAAGAAATAAAAATCTGAGAGCTCTATTAACAGTCTGGATTTTCAACTGAGGTATGAACAATGTGTTTAATGAGACTTCTGTCTCAAATCTGACACAGCCATTTATAAATATGGAAACTGTGGCTGTAATTCATAATGTTGGTACTGTATGTTCCTGAAATTCCAAGCAAAATAGCAAAACCAAGGCAATACCTTGTGATACCTCACGGCAGGAAGGACATTGAGATGCTGGAGCGTGTCCAGAGAAGGGAGTGGAGCTGGGCAAGTCTGGAGCACCAGAGGTGGCTGAGGGAGCTGGAGCCTGGAGAAAAGGAGGCTCAGGGGGAACCTTCTGGCTCTCCACAACTCCCTGGCAGGAGGGGCCAGTTGGGGTGCGGGGGGAGGGATGGTTGGACTCTTCTCCCAGGGAACAAGTGATGAGAGGAAATGGCCTCAAGCAATGCCAGGGCATGTTTAGATTGGATATGGGAAAAATTTCTTCACAGGGTTGTGAAGCATTGGAACAGGCTGTCTAGGGAGGTGGTGGAGTCACCATCCCCAGAAGTGTCCAAAAAGTGTTGTTTGGATGTAGGGACATGGTTTAGTGGGGAACACAGTGGTGGTGCTGGGCTGACCGTTGCACTTGATGATCTTAAAAGGCTTTTCAACCATAATGGTTCTGTGATTCTGTGGTATTACCCACAGATGAGAGGCAATCCTCATTCAGATCTAAAGCATTTTTCAGTTTTAAGTGTTGTTTTAGTGGCTTCTTCCACTGGGAACAATATTTCTGGTTTCTGCTGAAACACATTGTAAAATAACCTGAACTTCTTGGCATGGGGCCTTGATGCTACCCAGCTATAGGCAAGGACACTGATTTCAATAAAACCAGGAGAAAGTCTTAAACCAGTTTATCACCTATCACGTGATTTGAACACAAAGCAAACCCTGCAGCTCTGTGTACATTAACAAAGCAGATCTGCAGAAAGCAGCGTGTCAAATAGCGAACGTGCTCCAAATGGAAACCAAGACCAATTCCCATACCTGCAGCAAAACATTCTCCAGTCAGGGGGAAAGCAGTGACCCCAAGGATATCCCTTACAACTCCCTGCTGGGAGTGCCCAGACTCTTTCCAAAGCACACTCCCCAAATGCTTCCCAGGGGACATGCTGAGACAGAAAACTTCCAGCTCCCACGAGCCGGGCAGTGCCTGCCAGGCATTCCTGCCTCAGTTTTGGGTTTTGATTCCCATGAATTGGCAGAAATTTTCAGTCTTACCTCTGCAACATGCTCTCAATGCTCTGTTGTGAAAATGAGACATTTTTCACTCATTGTTCATTTCTGACCTGGGGGGAAAAAGCCCATATGTTAAATTATGCTGAGTATGAACTCCAGATGGACTTGAGTCAGCAAAGTGTCACTTCAGAGTAAGAGACAGCTAGAGCCAAGCTGTTTCTTTGGGTGTTTCACTAAGGACTTTGGAATAAGAATTTAATTTCTTTTTTAGCCACTCTATATTGGAGGCTACAGCTGCTTCCTCTTTTCCCAGCATACCCATGCAGGTAAAGGAAAACAGCAATTGCAAAAGGAATTTATTTTCTTCCTCTTTCACTCACTTGTCTGAACCAAATTACTGTGTATGGGACTACGTTCAATTAGATTAGCAAGTGACTTTTAACTTCCCTGGAAGCCATCACTCCCAATCCATCACCTGTAAAAATATACTAACATTACCATGAGCTAAAAGAATGAGTTTATAAAAATAAAAGCTCTGTAATAATTTGTAAATGGCCAGAGTTAGGGAAGAACAACTGATACACTCTGTGTGATACATGCATGTATTTTCAGTATCTAAGTCAACTGAAATTAAGTAAAAATGATTAAGGATAATGGATAAATTCTGTTGGCAGACTTTTCAAATCAAGTTTGTGTTCAAACAGAAAGTAATTCAAAGCTCATGATCTGTGCTGTGCTAATTGGAAGGCATGTATCAGACACAGTTCCAAATATACAGTATTGGAGCTCTGTATTCACTTAATTGAATTACTCTGAATTTACACCAGTGCAGCAGATGTAGGAACTCAGTCTTAATTCTGTCAACAAAAGATTTAAACCAGTTATCTCAAATAGCCCTTTGCCACGTTAACATGTTGGTCTGTGTACAGCATGATCTGAAAGTAACACAGCACAAAATGTAATTTTGTGGTAACTTCTTTTTGGAAATCCTAAATACCATCCAAAGATTCCCATGGCAGGTGGTTGGAACTAGGTGATCCTAAAGTCCCTTCCAACCTAAACCATTCTGTGATTCTGATTCAGGGTGGTTCCTGAGTATCTGAGGTGTTTGCTTGCACACACAAGGGAGTTTTTCTGGATTTCCCCAGAGAATGAAACTTCTGTAGTATATGAAATTGTGTTGGGAGATGATGGCAACCTGCCTGCAAGGCATTGCACCAACATCTCACAACTTTTCAAACACATTGATGGTACAACACTGTCTAGATCAGGATCCTTGTGCCCTTAAAACCCATGGTGTGTCCTACCTTTCCTCCACCTCTCCAGCAAGGCTACATCATTAAAAGACTCAAGGCTGGAATGAGATACAGTGAAATCCCCAAGGTGAAATCAGCAGCTACAGAACCCAGAGTGCTCCACTGCTGCCACACCTGAGGCGTGCCCACACGGCCTGGCTGTCCCCAGATGTGGGAGAACACAAACCCACCATCCTCCTGCCCCACCACCCCCCAGCTCCGAGCAGCACCGCGGGAGCTGAGTCCCCTCGAGGCCCTGCTGAGGGGCACACTGGGGGCCATGACTGCACCCCGGGAGATGCCACTGCGGGACGTCACTGCCACATCTGGCACCAACTCACAGCTGCCCTTCCTGGGTCCCCATCAAACTGGGGCTCAGAGGTGCGGATCGAAGGGCAGATCCATTCAGAGGGGAAGATTGCGGTCCGGGTCCCCTGAGAGGGGCGGATTGAGGGGAAAGCCCTCAGAGGAGCGGGTCCACGACCCACCCTTCTGAGCAGATCGCCTCAGAAGGATCGCGGTCCTGGTCCCCTCAGAAGGGCCGTGGGCGAGGCGAGCCCCCTCAGACAAGCAGGCTGAGTGGTACATCTCAGAAGGGTGGGCTGAGGAGCAGATCCCCTCAGAGGAGAGGGCTGAAGGGCAGATCCCCTCAGAGGAGAGGGCTGAAGGGCAGATCCCCTCAGAGGAGCGGTTGAGGGGCAGACGCCCTCGGAAGCGCACACCCCGCTCCCCTCGGAGGGGCCGCGGACTGTGGGGATCCCTCAGAGGC